ATACTGTACAAAGATTACAGAAGTGGGACTAGAGATGGTAGAGAAGTGTGAATGCCCATTCCACAGCACTCTCCAGGAACCTGGCTCTCCCACCTCCATTACAAACACAGTGGCTGGACAAATGCCCTGATTTCCTCTGTTTGTACCGCAGAAGCAGAGAATCTCAGGGGCAGGAGGGGCTTTAAGAAACTGGCTCAACTTATTGCTTCAACTTCTTCCCCCACCTCAAACACATACTCATGCACCACACTTGCCATCCCACAAAATGGCTTTCCCAAATTCTGCTTGAACTTCTCTAGGGAGCTTCACTCCCTTGTCATTCAGTGCCTCTTCTTTTCCCAGTTCCTCTTTTCACCTCCAGGACCAGATATGTGAACTGTTTCAGTGCCTCGTTACTTCCTGTTATTCCTCTTTCTGTTCCTCCTTACATATCTGCACCCCTGCTCAGGCCCATGAGGGCATTAAGTAGGCAGATGGGAAACAGCTCACCGTGGCTCTTACCGGGAACTGTGTGCCCCCACACTCGCCCCGTCCCTAGCAAGAGCTTGGTGGATTCCTATTAGGTAAAGCCTACCTACAACCTGGGTCTTGGAGGGGTGGTAAGGCAGAGACCGTTCAAGAAATGGGTCAGGCCTTGCCTGGGATTGGGGGCTGGCCTGCCCATCACTTCTCTTTGATGAGCTAGCTCTCTCTGCCCCTCTTTCACTCTAGCTTCTGCTTACTTAGCCAATCACAGAGGTGGCCACTAAGCTCAGTCTCATCCTCAGAAAAACTTACTTATGCCAGTGAGAACCCTTCTCGGTGGGCAAAGGGGTTTCTCTTTTTTTTTTTTTTTTTTTTTGAGGGGGGAGGGAGTCTCACTCTGTCAGCGAGCTGGAGTGCAGTGGTGAGGTCTTGGCTCACTACACTGCAACCTCCACCTCCTGGATTCAAGCCATTCTCCTGCCTCAGCCTCCCGGTAGCTGGGATTACAGCGCACACCACCACACCCGGCTAATTTTTGTATTTTCAGTAGAGATGGGGTTTCACCATGTTGGCCAGGCTGGTCTCCATCTCCTGACCTCCAGCTGTCATCGGGTTTCTCTTGCTGCCAATGATTTTGGCTTTCCCCCAGCAACAGTCAATGGGGGAAGATGTTCAGTTCTCTCAAGGGATCTGCCCACCTCGGCCTCCCAAAGTACTGGGATTACAGGTGTGAGCCACCATGCCTGGCCAAAGATCTTTCTCTTAAAATAACAGGCAGAAAAGTGATTTAAAAGTGAACCTACACCTGGAGTTCCAGCTACTCAGGAGGCTGAGGTGGGAGGAACTCTTGAGCCCAGAAGTTTAAGGCTGTAGTGAGTTATGATGGTGCCACTGCACTCCAACCTGGGTCAAAGAGTGAGACTGTCTCAAAAGAAAAGGCCAGGGGTTGTGGCTCACGCCTGTAGTCCTAGGTACTTAGGAGGTTGAGGCAGGAGGATTGCTTGAGGCTGTGAGTTCAAAGCTGTAGTGAGCCAAAGTCACACCACTGTACTCCCCAACCTAGTCAGCAAAGGGAGACCCTGTCTCCAAAAAAAAGAAAAGTGGATCTCCAAGAACATTAAAGGAAGATGAGAAGGACTATCATGATTACCTGTTTTCCAGGGCCCAGCCCAAGATAGCCCTCTGTAACCCTCATGCCCATTCAATTCAGGGCTCATTAGGCTCTCTTTTTTTTTTTTTTTTTGAGACAGAATTTTGCTCTTATTGTCTAGGCTGGAGTGCAATGGTGCGATCTCGGCTCATCGCAACCTCTGCCTCCTGGGTTCAAGCCACTCTCCTACATCAGCCTCCTGAGTAGCTGGGATTACAGGCATACGCCACCATGTTCAGCTAATTTTGTATTTTTAGTAGAGACAAGGTTTCTCCACGTTGGTGAGGCCGGTCTCAAACTCCTGACCTCAGGAGATCTGCCCCCTTGGCCTCCCAAAGTGCTGGGATTACAGGCGTGAGCCACTGCACCTGGCCCTAGCCTCTTATTTTATAGTCCCTTTTACTGTCTCATTGATTCTCTTTGGCATGGAGGGAGGCAGGATGGGGGCAGTATACAACCTCCCCTGCCCAGAATGCAGTGTGAACCACTTTAGGACAGTCATATAAATTGTTTGTATTTGTACCTTACATCGACTTATCAGAGCTCTGCTCATTGTACCATCAGCTCATGGTATCAAGATCCATAAACATACTCTCTGTAGTCTCATTTTGCTGACTAGATGAAACATGTAAAGATCACTCTGGTCTTGTCTCCATCTTCTTCAGCCTGGTTGGTAGGAGGCCCACAGGAAGGGCCACGGGGCCATGATTCCTAGCAGTGGGAATTATGTTTCCTGGAGAGAAGACAGTGTGGGCAGTCTTTTCTCACTGGTGCAGAGGGAGCAGGCGCTGTGCCGGCTGGTGTGGAATACAAAGTGCTGTGTAAGGCACTGCCTGGTACAGAACTTGATTAGCAAAGCCCAGCGCCAGTGAGCATAGCACATAAAACCACTACAACCTCCACAGCCTGCCTCAACTCCATAGGCCCAACTTCACATTCCAAGCAGTGTTTGGCAGCGCAGCTAAGAGCAGCTATGGCAGAAGTGCCTTCGGTTTTCCCATTCTTCCCTATTGCACTTCAACCTCAGGGTCTTCTTTACCTGTAGTTTCTCCCTCAACCCCACATTCCAGTTCCTTCCCCAATCCCTAGCAGTCCAGCTTCTGCCTCTCAAAACTCCAAATTCTTGCAGGCTCTACCTACCACCTTTGCCCATCCCTGTTCCATCTGTGACACACTGCCCAAGTTGTTGCTGTTGTTCTCCTCCTCCTCCCCCCTCCTCCTCCCCCTCATCCCTCTCCTCCTCCTCCTCCCCCTTCTCCTCCTCCCCCTCCTCCTCCTCCTCCTCCCCCTCCTCCTCCTCCTCCCCCTCCTCCTCCTCCCCCCCCCTCCTCCTCTCCCTCCTCGTCCCCCTCCTTCTTCTCCTCCCCCTCCCCCTCCTCCTCCTCCTCCCCCTCCTCCTTCTCCTCCCCCTCCCCCTCCTCCTCCTCCTTCTCCTACTCCTCCTTTCCTCCTCCTTCTTCTTCTTCTTCTTTTGAGATGGAGTCTCACTCTGTCACCCAGGCTAGAGTGTGTTGCAACCTCCACCTCCCAGGTTCAAGTGATCCTCCTGCCTCAGCCTCACGAGTAGCTGGGACTACAGATGCGTGCCACCACGCTTGGCTAAATTTTGTATTTTATTGTTTAGTAGAGATGGGGTTTCACCATGTTGGCCAAGCTGGTCTCGAACTCTCCTGACCTCAGGTGACTCACACACCTTGGCCTCCCAAAGTGCTAAGATTACAGAGGTGAGCCACTGTGCCTGGCCCCTTTTATTTATTTATTTATTTTGGAGTTGGTGTTTTGCTCTCTCACCCAGGCTGGAGTATAGTGGCCCGATCATAGCTCGCTGTAGCCTTGAACTCCTGGGGTCAAGCAATCCTCCTGTCTTAGCCTACCAAGTAGCTGGGTTTACAGATGCCACCACGCCTGGCTAATTTTTCAATCTTTTTTTTTTGGTAGAGATGGAATCTTGCTATGTTGCCCAGGTTGGCCCCAACATCTTGGCCTCATGCAATCCTCCTGCCTTGGCCTCCCAAAGTACTGGGATTACAGGCGTGAGCCATCTCATCCAGCCCCAAATACTTTCTCAAGCAAAGGCGCCTTACCCAGAGGGGAAATGCAGCTGTTTCAGTCCCTCCCTCTGCTCACGTATCAAGTATTCTGCCATTTCAGGGCACCTGGCTCCCTCACCTCAGATTCTTTTCCAGGTTATTCTTTTACCTTTTTGTCTATCTCCTGCCAAATCATGTCCTGTTTGGGTTTTTTTTTCCTTTGAGATGGAATTTCACTCTTGTTGCCAGGCTGGAGTGCAATGGCGAGATCTTGGCTCAATGCAACCTCCAACTCCCAGGTTCAAATGATTCTCCTACCTCAGCCTCCCGAGTAGCTGGGATTACAGGCATGCACCACCATGCCCAGCTGATTTTTTGTATTTTTAGTAGAGACATGGTCTCTCCACGTTGGTCAGGCTGGTTTCGAACTCCCGACCTCAGGTGATCTGCCTGCCATGGCCTACCAAAGTGCTGGGATTACAGGCATGAGTCACTGCACCCAGCCTTTTTTTTTTTTTTAATGAATTTTATTCTAATTTCTTTTTTTTCTTTCTTTTTTTTTTTTAAGATGGGGTTTCTCCTTGATGGCCAGGATGGTCTTGAACTCCTGACCTCAGGTGATCCACCCACCTCGGCCTCCCAAAGTGCTAGGATTATAAACGTGAGCCACCGCGCCCAGCCTAATTTCACATCTTCTAGGCATTCTGCTGGGTTTACACTGGCAGATTCTGGAGGCCCTGCTCCATCTCCAGATAGTCACAGGGGTAACCTCTCACATGGCCATGGCTCTGACCTTTACTATTTTGAAAATACTTTAGCATTTGTTCCCAGAACAACTTTGTGGGAGCAGATACTATTAGTCCCATACAAGCAATCTAAGACTCAGCGTCAGTGACTTACCCAATACCACCCAGCTAATAAGATGCCCAGCCCCAACTTGAATCCAGACCCGCTGGCTCCCACTCCAGTGCTCTTTCTACTGTTGTGAAACCCAGACCCCGCAACTGTCACCCTTATTACTAAGCACCCATTTGTGTTGACATAGTTGTTTTGTTATCCTGCACTGTCATGTTCTTGTGAATTGTATTTGTAGCCATGTGTTTACCACGTCTCCTTCCTGTGATTGGGAACCTCCAGAGGTGAGGGACGGAATTTTCCTTTCTCTGTTGGTCCCTCAGAATCCAGGATAGGGGTCTGCCAACCAAAGGAACGGACCCTGGAGGTAAAGGCAGGCACTGTGAATGTGGATCTTTGCCACCTTCTAGTGTACATGGAGAGTGGATGTGGACAGAAAGTTGATAATAACAAGTACCAGGAGCTGCCATTTGTTGACAACCTACTAGGTGCTGAGCATTTGCTAGTTCTTTATTTACATTACTTAATCTTCACAACAAACTTCTAAGGGAGGTATTATTATTGGCAAATGAGAAAGCTAATGCTCAGAGACATGGAGTTAGGATGCAACCACATCTGTCTGACCCAAAAAGGAACATATAAATAGCAGAATTCAATTCAGATTTTAAAAATATGGACCAGGAGTGGTGGCTCATGCCTGTAATCCCAGCAATTTAGGAGGCCAGGGCGGGTGGATCACCTGAGGTCAGGAGTTCGAGACCAGCCGAGCCAACATGGTGAAACTCCGTCTCTACTAAAAATACAAAAATTAGCCAGGTATGGTGGCAGGCACCTGTAATCTCAGCTACTCGGGAGACTGAGGCAGGAGAATTGCTGGAACCCAGGTGGCGGGGGTTTCAGTGAGTGGAGATCATGCCACTGCACTCCATCCCTGGCAACAACAGTGAGACTCTGTCTCAAAAAAAAAAAAAAAAATTAGCTGGGCATGGTGGCAGGAGCCTGTAATCCCAGGTACTCAGGAGGCTGAGGCACAGAGACTCGCTTGAACCCGGGAGGCGGAGGATGCAGTGAGCAGAGATAGTACCACTGCACTCCAGCCTGGGTGACAGAACAAGACTCTGTCTAAAAAAAAAAAAAAAAAATCCCTTACTCCCTGAAGGCCCATCCTACCCTTGACTTTTCTTTTCCCAAAAAAATAAAATTCAGGAAGAGGAAAGCAGGGCAGGTTGTAACTCATACATAAGCACACACACGGCGCGCGCGCACACACACACACACACACACACACCACTTATACCTATCACCACCACCCTGGATTTCCTAGCCCCAGGGTGAGGGCTATGAGGGGGGGTCAGGGGTCAGGTTCGCTAAGACCCTAGTCCTTGCCCCCTTCCCTGGTGCTAAATAAAAGTGAATAAATACTAAATAAATACAACTGGGGCCCAGGCCCACCCTGCCTTCCCCCTCCCTCCTGTGACCTGCAGGCAGAGGGGGCAGTTTAGATGGAGGACTGTCTCTCAGCCCCTTCCACCCACTAACCCATCACTGCCTCCCAGGGCAGGAAACCAGGGCAGGGCCAGCCTGCGCATTAGGGCAGAGAGGAGGGGCAGGTCTCACACCCACAGCTCCTCCCCACTGAGTCTTAGCATGAGGCAGCTGCAGGAGCCCTCTCTCTTTCTCCCAGCTAAGTCCGAGGCCCCGGTGCCCAGAAAGGGCAGCCGGGATAGTGAGGTTATTTCCTGCCCGCCCAGGTGCGCCGCCGAAGGATCTCCAGAATCTGTGCTCTTCGGTGCAGCCAGTCCTGGGGAGTGGGGCGTGGTGTTGAAGTTGTCGGCCGGGGCACAAAGAAGCTGTATCGGAGGCGTGCGTTCTGGGGGTTGCCAGCCACTAGGACTTGCAGTGTCAAAGGCTGGGCCAGTGGCCCGTGGCCTGACAGTGTCTCTGAGGCTGCAGTGGCCCCGCTGTAGCGCAAGCTGACTGCCCCAGGCAGTACCACATCTGTGGAGGAGGGCATCAGCGTGTATTCGCCATTGAGGGCATAGGAGCCATCTGGCAGCTTCAGGGCCAAGTAGATGCTCCGGTGGCCAGGATTCCCCTGCTGCTGGACAAGAATGTGGGTGGCCCCCGCAGGGATAGTGACCACATTGTTGTATCCGTACCTGTGTGGAAGGAGTACATGGGGAGCTCAGGATCACCTGAATCCCCCCAGCCTTCTGAGCTGTGTTTATGCGACCGCATGTGTGTAGTGATTGTCGCCCCAATCCTATGTGAGTGGTTCAGTCTGGATCAGAGCTACGTGCATGTGCCCTACTGCCTCTTATCTCTGGACCTTTATACCCACTGTTCCCTTACTGAGGTGCCCTTCCAAGCCCCACCTCCTTGGTACGTGTCCAATTCCTACCCTCCTTCTGAGGCTCAGCTCAGAGTTCACCCCAAGCAAGTCTTCCCTGATGCCCATAAGGATGCTCACAGCACCCGGTTCAGACTCCGGCTGAACACATGGGACACTGCACTGTAACTGCCGACTCATCTACCTCCCGCTAGACTGTGAGCCCTATGAGAGTAGAAACAGTGCTGACTTCCCCTCTGCATCCCCAGGACCCAGAATGTCCAGGAAGGTAGAGGGAGGCATCATGGTAAAGAACCTGAATTTCCTGAAGGAGCCTGAGTGCTTGCTGCAGCCAGAACCATCCCCTCCGCACACCATGCACTTGTCAAACTTCTTCTTGGAGCCAATGATGCGGTCACAGCCAGCATGGATGCAGCGGCCCTGGACACAGACTGAGGAGCTGTCCGGGGCACAGGGGGTCCCATCTACCACCTGAGGAGGAGAGAAAAAAACAATTCGAAGGTTCCTCCTAAGTCAAGAGGGGTTGGTAAATCAAAAAAGACCCATGTCCCACCAGGAAAGGGATGTCAGAAAAGTTGGTTGAGGTAGGGGATGTAGATGGGTGAGTGCCAGCCACCATGTGGTGATAATCATAACAATACAAATAGTTAACACATATAACATCTAGTCAGCATCTTCAGAGCACTGAGTATAAATCAGGCAGTGTGCTAAGTGTTTTACAAACACAAACTTAAATCTCACCACCACTATTTGAGGTTTCTAGGGATGGAACATTAAGGTTTACAAAGGTTAAGGAACCTGCCCCAAAGCCACACAAATGGCAAGCCAAGGAGCCAAGACTGTAGTTCTTTTTTTTTTAATTTAGAGACAAGGTTTCACCATATTGGTCAGGCTGGTCTCGAACTCCTGACCTTAGGTGATCCACCCGCCTCAGCCTCCCAAAGTGCTGGGATTACAGGCGTGAGCCACCGCGCCCAGCCAAGACTGCAGATCTTGCAAGAATTGCAAGTCTGTCTGGTCCCAGCACCGAGCCGTAAACCTTGATGGCACTGCCCCGGAATGGACGCTAGAGGGCAGCCAGCCTGTAGAAATTCTCAGGTTAAGGGCGAAAGGAGCAGAAGGCTGCTAGGGCTTGTTTTCCTTTGTGCAGCCTTCAGCTCACCACCCTATCACAGAGAGGGAGTGTCGGGACTTCAGTCATCTCCAGGGGTCCTGGCCATTGAGGGACTGGCTGTCCTGGAGCTGAATGAGGCCACGACTGTAAATTGACAGAGGAGCCCATAGAAGAGGGGTCAAGAACTTGCCCCAAAGGCCACACATTCCATTCTCACCAAATGTAGCACGAGAAGATGGGGAGACAAAGGAAAGAGCCCAAGGGAAATAGGATAGCCTGGAGGGACCTGTTGGCCATGTATCTGGAATCTGGGGCTCGTCTTCCTGATACCCACATACAGATAAGTCTGAGTAGACTCCTGGACTGGGCTGGCGTGGCTGTGGGAGCAATGCTACTTTGGGGATCTTTGTCATCAGAAAGCAGAGGGAGCACTGGAGGTGTGTGTGACCATGGACAGGGCCTGGGGGTGCCCTGGCCCTCACCCGTGGCTCCAGCATATAGTAGTAGCCTAGCGCCCGGGCCTGGCAGGTGAGTTTGCACTGGTCCTGTGGGGCCACGCCTGTGTAGCGAGGGACCCAGTCCATGGGCCCTGGGAAGCTCTTGAAGAGGTCGGTGCGGTGGTTGTAGGCAGCGCACTGCTCCTCGCGGAAGGTCAGGGCTGGAGGGGTGAAACAGACAGTCAGAGCCCCTCCTTCCTCACATCACCCCACGCCCCTCCACCCAGCCCCTCAGAGCTCTAGACAGCACAGCTCCGCTTTTCTCCACAGATGGCTAAGGACAATTCCCAGAAGTTAAAGGCACTCCGCCCAGCAGCAGGAGAATCAACACCCTCTTGGTCTTGCACTCAAGGCATAGTCCTTCCTGCTCTACTGTCCCCTCCCAACGGCTCCCATCCCCGAAACTCCTGACCTGAGCCAGCTGGGCAGTCCTCAGTGTTGCAGGAGCGGAATCGGGTGCGGCGGCCCTCACAGTACTTGCCACCATTTCGGGGGACAGGCCTCGTGCAGTCTCGGGAGGAGAACTGGACACCACCCCCACAAGTCCGAGAGCAGTCGCCCCATGGTCCCCAGGGACCCCAGCCACCAGCCTGTGGAATCTGCAAAGTCACAGAATGGAAGTGGGGGATAAATGAACTCTCTCCTGGGCTTAGGGCCAGTCCCCACACCCCTGGGCCCTTTACCCCACCCTGCCCTAGGATCTCACATTGAAGTCCTGGAACTGGTCCACGTGGAGGCAGCGACCACCCATGCAGGCCTGTGCGGGCCCGCAGGGGGTGCCATCAGCCCAGGGTGAGTGCTTGGTCTGGCACATGGCATGGCCATTGAGGTGGCCAGAGCACCAGAGGGCAGCACAGGGCGGCGGCAGCTGCGGACAATGGCTTGAGTCGGGCCCAAAGGTCAGCTGGCACTGGCGGTCAGCATCATAGTCCTTGCCAGGGAAAGTCACAGGCAGATGCAGTGGAGCCTCTGGTTTGTCTAAGAGACAGTGCCCTGGGAAAGAGATTGAGGCACAAAGTCAGCAACGGGTTTAAGGGAGCATTCAGAATTGCCAGCTGAAAGCTTAGGCTCCCCGGGGGGGCTGATGGAACCTAGAAAAACAGGCCGGGCAGATCACAAGGTCAGGAGTTCGAGACAAGCCTGGACAACATGGTGAACCCCCGTCTCTGCTAAAAATACAAAAATTAGCCAAGCCTGATTACAGGCACTTGCCTGTAATCCCAGCTACTCAGGAGGCTGAGGCAGGAGAATCACTTGAACTTGGGAAGTGAAGGTTGCAGTGAGCTGAGATCAAGCCATTGCACTCCAGCCTGGATGACAGAGCAAGATTCTCTCAAAAAAAAAAAGAAAAGAAAAGAAAAAGAAAGGAGAAAAAGAGAAAAACAACTCTAGGGCTATAAGGGGCTTTAAATTTTTTAATTCATGATTTATCTTTTAATTACTTTTTTTTGTAGACAGACTCTTGCTCTGTCATCCAGGCTGCAGTACAGTGGCATGATCATGGCCCACTATGGCCTCAAATTCCTGGGATCAAGCAAACTTCCTGCCTCGGCCTCCTGAGTAGCTGGGATTATATGTACCATGTCCAGCTAATTTTTTTGAATATTTTATAGAAATAAGGTCTGCTATGTTGTCCAGGCTGATCTCAAACTCCTGGTCTCAAGCAATCCTCCCACCTCAGCCTCCCAAAGTGTTGGGATTACAGGTGTGAGCCACTGTGCCTACCCCGTAAGAGGCTTTAATGGGCAGCTACAATTTATTTTTTATTTTTATTTTTAGAGATTGGGCTTTACCATGTTGGCCAGAATGGTCTCGATCTCTTGACCTCGTGATCTGCCTGCCTCGGCCTCCCAAAGTGCTGGGATTACAGGTGTGAGCCACCGCGCCCGGCCCCGGGCAGCTATCATTCATTGGATGCTTATTATGTGATGAGCATTAGCTAAATGCTTGACCAGCACATATTTAATCGTGACAAATGCCTATGAGAGAGGTACCACTATTATACTTATCTGACATATCAACTACAAACACAGGTGAAGTAATTTACAGTCACACATCTACATCTGCTTTTTTTTTTTTTTTTTGAGATGGAGTTTCGCTCTTGTTACCCAGGCTGGAGTGCAATGGCTAGATCTCGGCTCACCGCAACCTCCGCCTCCTGGGTTCAGGCAATTCTCCCTCCTCAGCCTCCTGAGTAGCTGGGATTACAGGCATGCGCCACCATGCCCAGCTAATTTTTTGTATTTTTAGTAGAGATGGGGTTTCACCATGTTGACCAGGATAGTCTTGATCTCTTGACCTCGTGATCCACCCGCCTCGGCCTCCCAAAGTGCTGGGATTACAGGCGTGAGCCACCGCGCCTGGCCCTACATCTGCTTAAATAACAGAATAAGGGGCGGGGCATGGTGGCTCAATGCCTGTAATCCCAGCACTTCAGATGGCTGAGGTGGGAGGATTGCTTGAGCCTAGGAGTTCGAGATCAGTCCAGGCAACACAGTGAGACCTCGTCTCTATTTTAAAAAGAAAAACAAATTATTAACAACAACAACAAAAACAAAGCTGGGAGCTGTGGCTCACGCCTGTAATCCCAGCACTTTGGGAGGCCGAGGCAGGTGGATCACCTGAGGTCAGGAGTTCGAGACCAGCCTGACCAACATGAAGAAACCCTGTCTCTTCTAAAAATACTAAATTAGCCGGGCATGGTGGTGCACGCCTGTAATCCCAGCTACTCGGGAGGCTGAAGCAGGAGAATTGCTTGAACCCGGGAGGCAGAGGTTGCGGTGTACTAAGATGGAGCCATTGTACTCCAGCCTGGGCAACAAGAATGAAACTCCGTCTCAAAAATAAATAAATAAATAAAACAGAATAAAGATAGGAACCCAATTCTGCCTATTCTATTCCAACCAACTATAGAATACTTGAATTTGCCTCTCATCAGCATCTCTGCCCATTGGCAGTTATCCTGCTGTTCTTGCATACCTCATTATGTGACAAGGTAATCACCTTCACAGCCAGCACATTCCAGTGGTGGGCAGTTCTGGCCCTCAGAAGGTCAGTTCTAATTCTATTGAGCCAAAATTTGCCTCCTCTAGCTGTGGTATTTATTGTGGGAGGAAGTGAGAACCTCAGAAAGACAGCAGCATTTCTCACCCCTTCCCACACTGCAGAAGAAGCACACTTTTGGGAGGCAATTTGGCCCATGCGGAATGCCAGCAGAAGTGAGAGTGCCATGGAGGACAGGAATTGAGTCCTACCTAGGGAAAGGTGAGTGCCATCTGCTTACCATAGCCATTGTCCAGGAAGTCAGTGATGAAGCGGGCACTGCAGGGGGACCAGGGCTCCTCAGGATCCACATGAGCCATCACAGGGGCCATGACATGGCGAGAGGTGCTCAGAGGCCCATTCAAACTGCTGCATGGCTTGGAGTTGTCATGGAGCATGTTGAAGACGTGGCCTGTGGGGGCAGAGGCCCTGCTAGGGTCTGAGGGTCCCTTCCCCATGCCCTGAGGGGCTCCATCATAAATCCTGCTGCAGCTGTGATGGTCAGATCTATTCCCCACCTCACCCTGCCCCTAGTCCCTTCCTTTCTGGTACTCTCAGGGCTCCCAGTATGTAGCCCCATCTCTTGCTCTGTCTCCTCTTCCCCAAAATATACTCAGGGCCCCTCCCTATCCACTTTTCCTTATAACCAACATTCCCAACTGTGACTCCACCCATTCCCTCTCTGACTCCCCCTCCAAATACACACACACACACACACACACGCACACACACACACACAAACACACAGTTCACAGTAGTTTCTACCAACTAATATGTTTAATAGAAGAATCTAAATATATATCTACACCTGGAGCAGAAAGGAGTAATAGCCCTGTACCTAGGCCTGGGGGAAGAAATACCTTGGGACCCCCATTAACACTCTGGTGAACTTGCTACCCCTCCCCTAGTTCATCCTCCCTAATACCTTTCTCACCCTCCCCAGGTGGCCCATGGTCCCACCCCCACCTTACCCAGTTCGTGAGCAGCAGTGAAGGCCGACTGGAGCCCATCATCCTCCACGATAGCACAGCTCCGAGCCGGGTCACACACAGTGCCTACATCAGCCATACCCAGTGTGTCACAAGTGGAGACCCCACACAGGTCCTACGGAGAGGGATCACAGAAGGTAAACAGAGAGCCACGACACCTGGACCCACTGGGATGAGATTCAGATTCCTGGGGACCTGGGCACTGAGGACCCAGCACTGTCAGGGTCTAGGAAGCCACACATGGCAGTGTGGCTGGGCCCAGGCACCATGTCACACAACTCTAGGGCATCATTTACATCACAGTCTACGTAGTGGTACTTCTAAGAATTGTGTAGTGCGTGGCCTGTGGTGCTGACTGGGGCCTCACCTGGCGGGTGAACAGAATGGCCGTGTCAAAGTGGTCAGGGTCTGAATCCTCAGGGGTGTTGAGGCCCCGCTGCCAGGCACAGAAGCTGCGCAGGGTCTGAGCAGCACTGGGCCCCACTTGGGGCCCCTCCTCGCCTGACCCCAGGATCACTAGCCGAGTCACCACCAAGCTGACAGGATTGCGGATGCTTGGGTGCTTGAAGGCCTTGGCTGCTGCTGCCATCACCGTTAGCAGGTAGTGCTTCAGCCCCGCACCGTGAAATGCGGCCATCTTGTCATCTGCCACCACCAGTGTCTCCACGAATCTACTCAGTGAAGCAAAGCGCTGGAGAGAAAAAGGGAAAGGAAGATCCTGAAATAGCCTCAGACGCATGGGTCGATTGGTTCTCCCCTCCCTCACTTCCTGGGTCTGGAACTCGGCATCCTCAGCTGCACCCCACACACCCCACTGGATTCCTGACTCCTGACGGGTCTTGGTCAGGCCCTTCCCCCAACACCAAATCTCAGGGCTTTTGTGGTAACTCTGAGGAGTCAGCAGCTGGTTCTAAGAAGGGGAGGGGAGGGGACGCCACATCCCAGGGCTGCAGGAGCCCCAGAGGTGAAAGCAGCCTGGTCTGCCGTCAGGAGGGACTTTGGGGTCCTCCAGGGCTGAGTGTGGCTGGGGCCTGTGGGACCAGGGCTAGAGGGCTGGGCTGCAACGTGTCTGGCCTGTGTGGTTGGAGGAACGATTCAGTCAGCAGCTAGGGCCAGGGCCAGAGCTCAGCGTGGCGGGTGTGGAGGGAGCGTCTGGTCTGGATTAAAGCTGGAGAGGGAGGAGGGAGGAGGGAAGGGAAGAAGGGGGAGACCAGGAGTGGGAGGGAGAAAAGGATGGAGCCTCAGGCAGCCTTGCAGTCCGGCCACAGTGTGGGAAGGGGATTGACCAAGAGGAGGTACGGGATGCCCTCCCTCTCTTGCCACTCCTGCCCTAGTTTGCAGTTTGCCACAGTGATTTTAAAGGCAGCATCAGAAGCCAGAGACCAAACCCTCGGGCCTCAAACCTGACTCCTTTAGCTGGGGGTGGGGGATGTAAATCAAATTTGGGGCAGAGAAAAGAGCCAAGGCCACAGGGCTATTAGGAGACCTTTGCTGCTGGGGACTGTGCCAGCAGAAGATGCCAGGGCCAGGCAGGGGTGCGGTGGAGACGGGGAGCAGTTATTCCCAGCCAGTCTCTGACCCACCTCTGAGAACTCTCGGTGGGTCTGGCTAGGACAAGGGTAAAGGGGAGAGGCCTGAGCCTTCCCTAGAAAGGAGGCTTGTGGAGAGAGGAAAGACAGGCAGAAGGGAGGGAAGCAAAGTGGCCAGAAGTCGAAGTGGGTGGAGAGAGGGTGAATAGGGGTCAGTAGGACAGACATGGTGGGAGGACACGGCAGGACACAGACTCCAGGGTTGCTTACCTTGGCTCTTCGGGGTCTGGGGCTGGGGCTTCCAGGAGGAGCCTTGACGTTGCACATGGGTCCTTGGCCACTGGCAGGACTCTTCCGACGTAGGATGTGAGCCCCAGGACCCCCAGCGGAGTTAGGGGTGCCTCCCTCCAGGGGCTGGAGGTGGAGTTCAGCCCCCTGATACTGTAACACCCCTAACAAGGCTCCCCCATCCCAGTGCAGCGATGCTACCGACTCCGGATCTCCATTGATGGTACCAGTCAGGTAGGTGCCAGGCTCTGTTCCTCCCAGCAGCTCAGGCGCCTGGCCCAGGTACTGCACTGTCAGCCCCTCAACCTGCACGCCCGAGTCCTGATCCAGCTCTAGTAGCAGCGTCTCCCCAAAGGCCTGCAAGCGGCACAACAATCTGGCAGGGGCGCCCGAACCAGGCAGGACGCTGCCGTTGAGCTTCTCTGGAAACACGATCTCCTCCTCCCGGGGGAGGAGGCTGGCCAGCCGGGCTGAGGGCAGGAGAGAGGCCAGCAGTAGCAGAAGCAGCCACACCAGCCCGGAGAGCGGCACAATGGGGAGCTGGAGGCAGGGCTGGGCAACCCACAGCCAGCGCCCCGCCAAGCCCCTCCGGGAATATGAGCCCGTCTGGGACATGGCACTGGTACTGCTGCTGCTGGGAGGGACTGAGGCCGTCTGGGGCACCAAGTCCTCCACACCCGAGCTTTGGAAAGCTCTCCTCTGTAGCCTGGGGGCTTGGACTCCTGCCAAGGTCAGAGGCAAAGTTTTCAGAAGGGCTGGGGACCTTTAGAGGAAATGGAGAAAACTTAGTCCTCGGGCTTAGGAGAGGTGCCCAGGGGTCTGGCTTCTCCAAACTCTCCTCCTGAGCTCTCTTTTCCTGGATCTTTGTCTCTCCCTGCCTGTGTCTTCTGCAGCTTCTCTGGGCTCTCCCTCTGTAGGACTCTGCCTGGGCCGATTCTGTGCCTGTCCTGTCTCTGCCTTCTTCCGCCGTGCCTTTGTCTCTGTCTCTGTCCTCTCTCTCTCTCTCTCTCGTGCCTGCCTATGTGTCTGTGGATCTCCCTGTGGGTTCTCCCCAGCCTCTCTCCGCGCCAGCTCTTTTAAGCAAGTGAGCTTCTGCGATTGGCTGATCTCTAAGCCACTCAGCTGAGCTCTGTCGGTGGGACTCAGAGGGGTGTATCATCGCTTCCCAAAATCCTAGTTTTTGTTTTCCTTTAAAAAAAATGGGACTTGCCCAGGGGAGGGGAATCTCTAGCAGCCGAATGGATGTAGGCACTGGGCCAGCTGATGACATAGCCTTTTCCCAAACCCCACAATCAGCCCTCAGCTGTCTCTTTTCCTTTTTGGTGGGACAGAGCCCCAGGAGAGGCAGAGAGTGAGGGAAAGGGCCTGGACGGCATGTAGATAGGATCACAGTCCTGGGAGAATTCCTGCTCTTACAGTCTAACCTAGCATGGCCTCTCTCTTCTCTCAAGGCTTCCTCATGCTGCCCTTTGGCCCTAGTGGCTGGTTTCCAGGGCTGAGGGGACTGAGTGAGCTGCCTGAGAAAAGAGGATAGGGAACAGGTAAGGAGGCATCAAGAGTGAAGAACGAAGAAAGGAGGTAGCTTGACATGGCTCAGGATAGAACTGAGCAGCTGGGAAGAGTGAAAGAGGCAGAGCAATGCGGGGAGGCAAGGAGACAGCGATCAGGGAGTTTACTGCCCAAAGGTAGGATGATCCAGCTTGGAATGAACATACGGAGGCGAGGCGGCAGATGACAAGGCAAGCGGGGTTAACGACTTTTCCTTTTATAGAAGGCAGATCCAGGGTGGCACCTCCTCTTTCTCTCTCTGTCTCTCTTTCTTTTTCAGAGTTCCACTCTTGTTGCCTAGACTGGAGTGTAATGGTGTGATCTCAACTCACCACAACCTCCAACTCCCAGGTTCAAGTGATTCTCCTGCCTCAGCCTCCCAGAGTAGCTGGGATTACAGGCATGTGCCACCACACTGGACTAATTTTGTATTTTTAGTAGAGACAGGGTTTCTCCATGTTGGTCAGGCTGGCCTCTAACTCCTGACCTCAGGTGATCCGCCCACCTTGGCCTCCGAAAGTGTGGGATTACAGGGGTGAGCCATGGTGCCCACTGCTGGCCAGCACCTCCTCCTCTTTTCTAATGTCTCTTCTCTCCCTTAGGCTCCCCCTTCCTGAGTTAACAGTACCCACCCCCTCCAAGGCCCGGAACAGCTATTCCGCCTCCATTTCCCCCCAGGGTTCCCCTCCCCACTTCCTGACTACCCATTTCCCTGGCCCAGCTCCCAGTAGCTTCCCCTAGGCTCTTGGCCCTGCTCCTACCCACTCCCAACTGCCCTAAACCCTCCCCCAGCCTCAAGTCAGACAGCCCCCAGCATAGGCAAGACTTGCTCTCAGGAACCCAGATTCACCCAGTATCAATCTGGGGGAATCCCCACCTGGCTCACAGGGCCCACCCCACCTTGCTTTGAGAACCTATTGGTTCCTGGAATACCTAGTAATCTTTTCTTTTTCCTTCTCCCTGGGGCAGGGAGAGGGTGGAGGCAGCATTGTGCATATAGGGAAATTAGGGTACTGAGAGAAATCCGTTGCCTGGGATGGGGAGAGAGGCTGGGGAGGAAGAGGTGGTGTTAGAGAAAGGAAGCAAATTATTCCTTTGGCTTTGGATAGAAAGGAACTCAGAAAAGAGGTCTTGGGTGTGAGCTCTCAAGGCAAGGAAGGGTTCAGAAATAGGGGCAATTTCTGCTCACTCCATCCTCTGGCTGCTTGTTTCCCCAGGAAATCCCCAGGAAGGAGAATGCAGTCAGCCGTCCCTTTCCTTTCCCAGAAGTGGACCACCTTCTCCTGCCCCTAGTCCCCTATTCACTCTGCTTTGTCACCTCCTGTCCCCGGCATATCGGCATATTGTATCCGTCAGGATGCTTCCTCTCCCCCTCCCTTCCTGCTCAGGTTGGTAATACCTGCCCTGGTACCTATCACTTCCTGGATCACCCACCCCCTGCTTGTGACTGCCAGACCCACCTCTTGACCCACCACTTGCCTACCCCTGATCCTCAGCCAATGGGGCTGGGGTTAGAGGAGTCAGACAAGGGATGGGAGACCAGAAGGGACAGGGGCAAGAGGAGCTATCACCAGAGGACTCTACTGCCCCTTTCCACTCCCCCATTTGAGATGAGGACAAAGGGGTTGACTAAGCAGTGAAAGACAAAGGGCTTTAGAGTGGCTGCAGCAGCGTGTGTGGGGGTGTTGGCAGCAGGGAGAAGGCACAAAAGCTGCAGTGTCCTAGGCAGCCCCTCAGGAGCCCCCACCCCAGTCCCAGCTCAAGCTGCCCCCGGGGCCAAGTGGCCCAGTCTATCCTGACTTCTCCCAGGCTGGATCAAGGCAAATAAATGCAGTCCTTCCCATCACCCCCCCCCCCCCCCCCCACCATGGCCACATTTGCTGTGTTTCAACAATAGACAGAAAGAAGGCCCAGGGAAAGAGCGAGGAATGAGGAGGGTAGAGGGACCAAACCTCTGCCCCGGCTCTGTGGCAGCTGCCTTGTCTATCTACCCCAGGTCCTGGTCAGTTCCCACAGCCAAGGATCTGGCCCCACCCTTTGGTACTGTTCCCATTAGGTCAATTCCCAGGCCAGAAGTCTGGCTTCCCCTCTTTTTCTGCAGCGAAGAATTCCTCGTCTCTGTCTGTCTGCCCCACCCTGCTGCGCTGCTGGTGGGCTGTGTCCCAGGGATCCTGTCTAGGGGATATCTGGGGAAGGCCTCTTTCCAGGCTCAGAGTGGGAGAGTTGTACAAACTCAACGAGTGGGTGGCCCAGCTGGAGTCAGGCTTAGAGGGAGAGGGAGAAAACAGGAACTAGCCTCTAAGGCTGGAAAAGTCTTTGTCCATACAGAATTGGGATCAGACTCCTGGTGCTACTACATTTCCATGCTGTTGGCCATTACTCAGGAGGACTAAGGCAGAGTCAGAAAGACGTTAGGGAAAAAAGGCTGACGCAAGACGGAAGTGGGGTGTGAGGCATCTCTAAGGGCCCTTCCTGGGTCTGTGATCCTGTAGGTTCGGGAAGCCTGGCGGATGTCAGGGTCACCCACAGAGGACCTCTACTCCCCCATCTGGGATGAGGTGGCTCCTACACATCCCGACACTCCCCTCCGCACCACCAATGCCGGTGGCCTTGGCATCCTATTATTTTTTGTTTTGGTTTGGCGGGAGCCCTCAGACCCGCCCAGCCCCACTTAGGTTCCTTTCTCCAATCTCAGTTTAGGACATCTGGAAATTAGCTGGCTTTCCTGACTCGGATCTTTTGGATTCAGGGCTCAGACACAATCCGAGAGCAGGACAAAAGCGGGAGGGCGGCCAAGGCGGAAGGGAGTAGGGAAGACAGGGCCGCGCGTTTCCAAGATACTCCGGCTGGCTTGGTGAGAAAGCACGAAGTATTTGCCCCTCGCTGGAATGGCAATTTTCCCTTACTAGCTCCTAGAAAAGCCAGCCAGGAGCTGTGGGAGGAACCGCCCTCAGTAAAGATGAAGGCAGTCACCGTTATCTAAACGCAAGTGAAGCGAAAGCACAGGACCCGGATGTTGTCAGGTAGCCGGTAGGCGACCCTGCCAGCTTCCAAGAGGGCGGCTTCGCTGTGCGAATAGGTGAGAAGGCAACAAGGAGGCGCTCAGGAGTCACTTCCGCCCGGTTCTCCTTCCCGAAGTCTGCCGCCGGGGTAAGATGGCGGTGCTGAGGGCTCTGTGCAGCCTCCGCGGCGTCGCGGCCCAGGTGCTGCGGCCTGGGGCTGGAGTCCCACTGCCGATTCAGCCCAGCAGGTGAGATCGAGGGCAGCCCGCGACGCGCTTTATCCAAGGCTAGGGTTTCGCAGGTTGGGGACGCTCCATGGGCCCTGTGACTTCCCCCAGAAAATAACTCAGGCCTGTGACCCCATCGTCCAGCCTTGATTTCTTGGGCTGCAGGATGCAGTGGCGCCCACTCTGGCGAAGGAGGGGAGAGGGTCTAGATTTCGTTCCGCCAGAGGTGAAATCAGCGGAGTGGGAGACTGCCTTTTAGCCTCAGTAATTTCTATGCACCTTTCTTGTCATTCCTGAGTAGAGCTCAGGCAAAAACCCAGAATGCTCGCTGTCTCTCTGTTGTTGACCTTGAATAAACACTTTTCTCAAGTTCATATTCACCTGGTTGAGTATATCAATATGATGAAAATATGAAGAAGCTACGATCCCAACCTTGCATGCCCAGGGGTTATGGGTGAAGTTATTCCAATAAATAAATAGTAGGAATGGAACCTCTAGAGTTCTGGCTTATTTTGCCGAAGCTACGTTAACTTCAGATCAGTGACTTGGCATTTAAAAATACAGGACACTGGCCGGGCTCCGTAGCTCATGCCTATAATCCCAATTCTTTGGGAGGCTGAGGTGGGTAGATAACCTGAGGTCGGGAGTTCGAGACCAGCATGACCAACATGGAGAAACCTCATCTCTACTTAAAAAAAAAACAAAAGTAGCCGGGCATGTGGTGCATGCCTGTAATCCCAGCTACTTGGGAGGCTGAGGCAGGAGAATTGCTTGAACCCCGGGAGGCAGAGGTTGCAGTGAGCCAAGATCCTGCCATTGCACTTTAGCCTGGGCAAGAGGAGCGAAACTCCGTCTCAAAAAAAAAAAAAAAAAAAAAATCCAGGACGTCCTTCCTGGGTCCCGGTGAGAGCGAATGGGAACACAGGAACCAAGCACTGTTCAGGACCTTGTATAGGATCTGCCTTTAACTCCCCAGAGGTGTTCGGCAGTGGCAGCCAGATGTGGAATATGCACAGCAGTTTGGGGGAGCTGTTATGTACCCAACCAAAGAAACAGCCCACTGGAAGCCTCCACCTTGGAATGGTAAGTGACCAGAGTTGCTGTTGCTGTCCCAACCCACACCCATCCCTGCCCCCAGCTAATTTCTTTTCTTTTCTTTTTTTTGA